GGAGCGAACCCCCCTGGGTACCGCGTAAACATGCATTCAAAGATCTCGTGAAACATGCACTCATAAATTCCTGTTCGATAGCGATTATCTTGAAAATCTGGAAAGCTGAAAAAACTGTTGCTTAGCAAATTGCTCTTTTTTTCTGAACAAATTACGTATTTCTAGCGAGTTGCTAAGCGACGAGCCGTTGCTGAATGGGTTTTGCGTACATAAATGTCGCTATATCGTCAGAATAGCAGCAAAAAGCATTGGTACCAAATCACCTTCCATATTGAAGGATATTTGGATATAATTTATGATATTTTTAATACACTTCTAACGTTTATTACGCCTACTTTTATAATTAATCGCACCTACCATGTATCATTTCGCTTGGCGTTGGCCTGGTGGCTTGCCTAATTCTTTCGATAAAAGCTAACTTATCAAGCTAGCCTCAGGTGCTCCTGCGCTCACGTTTCATTCTGCACGTAGCCGGTAGCGGTGTGTTACCGATCCATTGTTGGCCAGACTTGGGCCAGACCACCAACGGCGGTTAGGTCGCCTGCCCCATTCGGACGCTGAAACCCCGATGGCTATCAGGGTGGCTATCTTCGGTGCCGGCCGACCGGCTGACTTGTGCACTGAGCCAGTGAGTATCGCGACCTGTGCTGATATGTGGGGCCAGTGGTCTCGGTTGGTCTCCCCACCGTTTCTGGTGGCTTCACCAGCACAGGGACCAGGTGCTTCAATCGGTGGTTTCTGCAGGTGAGACCGGACCGGACTGGACAGCACAGACACTGCCGTGTGACAGGATGAGCACCGACACTGTTATCAGTTTTGCTGATTGTTGATCACTGGTGGATGTCCGTGGGAAGACTGCCTCAGTCAGTCAGTCGGCTGCTGCCGGCGAGGTGCTGCTACTGGACCTTTGTATGTCTTAATGGTAATTAGACATGTTCAAAGAAGAGCAGCTGTAGGTAGATAGAAAAACCGATTGAAGTGCCAGGTCATAGCCTGTATAGAAACGTCAATCGGGAGTAAAACAGGTATAATTCATACACGTTAGAAATTGCTAGCTGTGTATCTTCATGAATATTTCACATACATGGCGCATTTGTGACGTTCATGAACCATAACAATGACCTGAGGCTGGGGCACTGAACTCTATAATGTGGAATGCGCATCGGCCGCCAAATGGTGTCCAACGGTGCCGCCATGTTGCGCAGACCAGAAAGCGGCCGCCGCCTGTGCTGGGGAATAGGGAATTCGGGACCTCGATTTACGTTTGCGGTCGCTGCATCCGTTACGCTCAAGCTATGTGGACACGGAACCCGGCATCTTACGCAGAATTGAGTGGAGAACAAGATGAAATCCTAAAAAATCATCAGCTATAAGGAACTAATACGTTAAACCCTTATAAGTCAATGGGGAAATATGAAAATTGTTATTTTGGCGCCGAGAATGATCTGAAACTATCTCAAGCATATAAAATCATGATTTCATGCACTCTTTGCAAGGTTCTATGCTTCATATTTGCATTGTTGCCCTTGCGTGACGTCATTTGTGACGTCACAAGGGTCACCATTTTTCTTCAATAACTCCCGATCAAATTGAGCTAGCGAGTCGGGAAAGCCACCAATGGACTCAGGAAGACCTGCCGAATCGAATGATATGCGACATGACCTTACATCTACATCTATTGAGAGCGGTCTGCGCGGTGGCGGGCAGCGGCTGCGAGGCTGTGGGCGGCACCCAGTGTGATTGTGCGGACTCGAGAGGCGCCCCGAGTTAAGTGCTCCGGCACTTTTGCGCCAATCGAGGGGACACTGATTGTCTGTTTCGAATGAATGTGTTAAATATATGAGATGAGAGATGAGATGAGACCTCTTTCGACCAACTTCGTGACCTGGGGGTGCTGACCTGACCTTGACCTGAGGTCAACACCCTAAGTTGACCTGACCCGAACAAAAAGTATATCACTCGATGCGCCTGAGCTAGCTGAACACGATGATACCAAAATCGCGGCTCTACGGCCATTTTTGGCGAAGTTATTTACCAAAAACCGAACCCGTGCCTTAGATCACTTGACCTGACCTCAGAGGTCACCGGTTGACCTGAGACCCTTACAGCGGGTTCCTACCAGTCACTCTGCATTATACTTTGCCGCATACGACCACTTTACCGCTTAATTCTAGTTTAATTAGCGGTGCATTAGCGAGGTGGGTTCAATCAAACCCCTCGGCCGGGGCAAATGTAGGTCAGGCGAGTGAATTTGAGGAATTCTGAAGATACGATCGTGTTCCCCACTCAATTCTGCGTAAGATGCCGGGTTCCGTATCTACGTAACTTGAACGTAACGGATACGGCGGCCGCAAACGTAAATCGAGGTCCCGAATTCCCTATTCCTCAACACAGGCGGCAGCCGGTTTCTGGTCTGCGCAATATGGCCGCCACCGTTAGACACTACGGCCAATAGGGTTGAAGCGGCATTGCTCCCCTGTGGGCTGGGGCAAGGCTGGGGAGGCACATGCAATGCCCAGTGACAAGATTACATAAGATTAGTGATTACCCAGATTACCGACGTAATACGGAAGGGCGCGGTGCAAGTTTTTGTTATCTGTGCTACTTGTAACTTGGTGTCTACAAGTGGGAGTGATACGGATAGTGCTAGTGTTGCCTAGTGACCTCAACCAGGAAAGGTGTTCACCTGCACGGCTCAGCCAAGCTGCGTTTACATTTCTTTTTTATTCGCTTGACGAGGTAGGTATGTCGCATCGTTACTGTGGCTCTTGTAGAGATGATCGTTGAAAGGATACTTTTGTACCCACACTTGTATGGAGCACCAACATAATTTTCATAAAAAGAGAACTTAAAATTAGCAGTGCCGCCAGTGCCTCATTCACCAATCCTGCTACGGCTTCATTTGTCGCTCGGACAATTAATCGTAATCATAATCGTGATACATTATCATCCGGCGATCGCAACCATGTTAATTACATTTTATCAAAGCTGAAGCATGCGTTCCACAGCGAATGCAACACGCGATTGTCAGATCAATTCCCAACCTCACACGCCTCCGCCTGACCGCTCCTCCCCACTGTCATGTGTTCAACAGAAGCTCCGTCAGCCGTCCCACGCCTGACAGCCCCTCCCCCCTGTATCAGTATACTCGACAGAAGCTCCGTCAGCCGCCCCACGCCTGACAGCCCCTCCCCCCTGTATACTCGGCAGAAGCTCCGTCAGCCATCCCACGCCTGCCATGGCCGTATCGTTCTACGTGCGTCTGGTGCGGCACGGAGAGACGGACGCCAACGTGCGGCGTGTCGTCGAGTCGCACACGCCCACCCCGCTGAACGAGGTGGGACGGCGGCAGGCGGACGCGCTGGGCGCCGCCTGGCGCGCCGAGGGCGTCTCCTTCCACCGCGTGCTGAGCAGCGACACGACGCGCGCCATGGAGACGTGTCAGCGCGCACTGGCCGCCGCCGGCCGGCCGGCGGCCCAGCCGCAGCCCGAGCCCATGCTCCGCGAGCGGGACGTCGGTCAGATGGCCGGCCTGACGTACGACGAGGCGCGCCGCCGCTGGGGCGACTCTCAGGAGGCCGACCACTGCCCGGCCGGCTCGGAGCTGCCGGCGGCTGCGCGCCTCCGCGCCGGACGCTTCTTCGACCGACTGGTGGACGAGCTGGCCGCAGAGGGCTGCGACGGCGCCGAGGTGGCCGTCTTCAGCCACGCGGGCCTGCTGCACTTCCTGCTGCAGCAGCTGCAGCAGCAGCACCGGCTGCAGCTGTCGGCGGCGCTGCTGCCTGCCGGCGAGCTGCACTTCTGCCACAACACGGGCCAGACGCGGCTGCACGGGCGGCGCGGCTCGGACGGCGAGCTGGCCATCAGCTGCGAGTTCCTGCACCGGGACGACCACCTGACCGGCGACCTGGCGCCCACCGTCTACCTGATGCCGTCGCTCGGCAAAATACCACGTAAGGCGAAATTGCGACTATCGCTAGCAAAATGATGCCTTTCATTACCGACGCAGTTTTGAAGTCTGGTTTTGGGCGCCTCAAACTTCGGTGCGATCCTAATTAGGGTTTTCATTGTTTAGGTTCCATTTTGATGGGTGTTGTAAAAATGATCACCTATGGCCTCGAATTTCTCGTTCCTGGGGGCGCGCTCAATGGTCACACTCGACCGAGCTCACGGTCGTTCCCGAGGAGGTTTACAAATCTCGTCCCTTGACAGTAACGGTGCCTAGCGACCGACTGACCCGGGCCACTGCAAAAATGATACATCCCGGGACGGGAGCGTGTAGATGACTGACATCCATATGTTGTATGTCCATAGGTGACAGTGTCGGCGTCGACAAGCCCTTCGAGGAGTGCATGGCGGGCGACGCGTGATGGCAGCAGTCCTACTCTTGACGGCAGCTGGGGCGCCGGTGCACGCGCTGCCGAGGAGCAGCCTTCCAAGTAATCTCAGACAGTAGACGCGTGCGGGCTGCCCCTGGCTCTGCAGCAATTACATGATAGGCTTCAATAGGTCATCGACAGGTGACCTGTCACGGTGTATCTCAGCTTATGATATTGTGTGCTGCACAGCTTTGAACCCAAATAGTCACTCAGGTGGGGGTAGTTATTATTTTTGGAATGTACGCGTCTTGTCATGTTTTTTTTTTTTTTTGTGTGCTGTTACATATCTAGACGGGTATGAATAAATCGATACTTTGACCTTGTGTGGCGTTTGAGGCACGAATCAGATAAATCAGAGTACTACGTTTACGGGTAAAAAGAAGTGGGCCGGTGCTCCTGAAGTTAGGCAGGGTCAGAACTCGAGCATTGGTCAACCGCTCAGAAGCATTGAAATTCTTCAGTGAAGCAGCGCTGGACCGTGTTCAGTCAACGACACTAGCTCAGCGGTGTTGTCATCAATAAAATACGATCAGTCGGTATGCCCGAAAATGCTGGTCAAGTGGTCACGCAGATAGGCGGCTTGGCGCAGAGTTACAAAACCACACCCATCACAGCGCAACCTTAACAAAGCTACAGTATATTTTTCTTACGGTTATACCAGAAATAGGTGGACGACAAACCTGACACAGCTGAGGCCAGTTCAGATCCCTCTCCAGGATCAGGCAAGCTCCCAGCTCACCGCACTGTCAAGACATCAGCGCCATTCGTCACCTAGGCGTCGATCTCAGCGCCACCTGCCGCGTGAAATAGGCTTACTCTGACTTAGGCTGCGGGCCTGTCATCGTTTGCGCTCGGTCTTCCATTTGTAGACGGGCGCCTGCGTAGAGCTGCCCGGGTGCACCTTTTTCGGCGCCTCCTCCTTCTTATTCTGCGGAAAAACAGACACACGTTGGTAACGAATGGTCAGGACAGGTCCAGAAAAGAAACTGGATAAAACCCACACGACGGGGATAGCAGTAGTCATAAAAACATGGGGTTGACACTAAAGAGACGGTACGGGTGGACTGGCTGTACGGAATTCTATTTCCAGCTGAGGTTAAATATTATTCGCTAGGCTCCTCCGCTTCTCCACACCTCCAGAATCGCCGCCTGCACTCCTTGTCCGCCCTCTCAACGTTATACCGTCCTTGACCAATGAACTCACGTCTCCTGAGGTCCCCATACGTCCGCCTCGCGTCTGGCCTCCCCTCGGTTCCCGCACAGCTCTCCCCGCGCTCCGTACCTGCAGGTGCCGCTTGAGCTCCATGCGCCGCTCCATCAGTGACAGCGTCTTCTCCCGCTCCAGACGCTTGGCCAGCTCACTGTAGCGGGCCTTCTTCTCGGCCAAGATCCGCTGCAGTAATATAAAAGCAGCCCATGAGCGTTAAACACCAAATAATGGCCATGCCTACAGTTTGTTTGTTTATTGGGGCTTTAGGGCGCGCCGAGGGGGACACAGTAGATACGTTTTGGCACCGAAAGAAAAAAGTGCACAATTCCTTGAATACCGGTAATAAGTATCCAAAAGCATTTCGGTTGAAATGACGTGAAATGCGCATCTTTTATCGGCAGCCACTTTTTGCTATATTCAAAAGGAAAGAGAACGAGCAAAGAGAATTTCACATCCGAATTCAGAAATGAAATGGATGAAATACGGCACCAGGACTGCACCTCCCGCCCATGCGGGCGCCGTCGCCCAACGGCTCTGTGCGAGGCGGGCCACTCACGTCGAGTTGTTCCTCGTCCATTGCGCGCGGCGCCTTCATCACGCTGAGCTGCTCCACCGTGGGACGGTTATAGGCCCGGTCCAGCAGCTCGGGCGCCGTGCGCAGTCGTTCGGCCACGTCCAGCGTGCGGGCTGTGGAACAGCGTCAGAGGGGTCAGAAGCGAGTTCAGTACGTCCAACGAACGGGCTGAGAAAGAATGTCAGCGGGATCGGGGTCAGAGCTGCTAATTCAGTCGGTCGAGTGATTGAAAAGAAATAATGCTACCCCGACATAATAAGCAAGAAATGTTGATTTGACCTATTATATTTCTCACCCTGTTTCTTGTCGTCGGTGAAGAAAACATGTGTGTTTTTGGGTTTTCCCTCCGCGTCGAGCAGGTGGAGCTCTGCCGTCAGCCGGGCCAGCTTCTTAGTCTCCAGCTGTCGGCGCTGTCGGATGTAGCGGATGTCCTGGCTCTGCAGTAGCGCCAGCTGATCCTCGGGCAGCTCGTCGCCGGCCTCCACCTCGTGGTGACGCCCCTCCTGAGCAGCGGGGGGGGGGGGAGGGTGTCAGATGTCTCCCGCCCCTCCTCAGGAGCGGGGGAGGGAGGGGCGTCAGACCGGTCACCGGCGGTGGGCGCTTAGAGGACACAGCGCATTACACTTCAAACATTATTCGTCGGCCGGAAAAAAAAAATGTCATGAGCCAGTAAAAGATTGCAGAACCATCACCACCAAACTGTCTTATATCCCGCTGCGTTATATTTAGGTGTGCGCACCAATCAAAATGCATAAAAAATAATTATAATAACGAAACAGCGACGGTAAGTGGCACATCAGAATCTAGCACTACTGGGCTAAAAAGTACCATACAATTCGCCAAACTAATGCCGCACCTTACCTTTGTTCTCGAGTTGACCATGTGAAAGTAGAATTCATCTGGGTTGCGGTTGAGGGCTTTGCGTTTCAAAGCTTTCAGCTGATGCTTCTTCTTGTTTTCCTCGCTGAAAAAGTTATAGTTACGATGTCAGCATCAAATGAAGGTTAGTACTTGGTATACTCACATAAGTATGAAGTCAGTTTCGCAGCCGTAACGTTACAATAACGGCCCATGACACATCGGCATAAAATGCCTTGATTTATAGGGTTTCTAAATACCTTAATGACATGATTTATCGACGACCATGACAGAGTTCTGCCATTGGTGACTATCTTCGGGACGATGTTCCGTGCCATATCGTTTATGTCTTCCTGGTCGGTGTGTAGACCGAAGATCCAGCGCCCCGGGAGCTCCAGGGCACCACATGGTCCAATGGTACCTAGGCCGGCACCCCCATCCCCTCCCCACTGCGAGGTCGGCAGCCCCCTTCCCACTGCTGGGTCAGCAGCCCTCCCTGCGGACAGCTCGGCTGCTGCGCGGTCGGTGGGCGGCGCCAGGGCGCGGCAGGCTCCACCCCTGGCCGCCGCCACCGGCCGATTATTCCACGGTCCGGTGCAGCGGACAGCGGGGCAAATAACGACTAATACTCGACATCTGGTGACTTAATGTGACGCCACACGCGCCGCCGCCGTTCCACCGCTCCTGGCGGGGCGCGTGGCCGGCCGGCGGTCCCGAGCGGACACAGGCCAGATATAGCCAACTCTGCAGCTCCACCTCATCAGCTGGGCAGGCGGGTCAGACCAGTCGGTTGGCTCCCCAAAACGCTCCACGAAAGAGATGCAATGTTTCAACAAACCAAAACTATCCAGAGAGTAGCAGCCTACAGATCATTTGCCTGTTGCACTAGCACTACCGTGAAACAGGTGCCTGATATCTCATCAGCCGAAATACGGATACCCAAGACGATGCCTATGCAAAAAAAAAAACAGATGGCCCAGTCAAAGTGTCTGTGTGGTAAACTCACTTGGCCCGCTGTTTGTAGTCACGCTTCTTCTCCAGAAGGCCCAGGTGCTGTCTGGCTGCAGGCTGAGGAAGACAAAGGGTCCAGTAATGAAAGCATAGTGACACCTGCACTAAAAATACATGGATGGGAGAAACTAAGCACAGTTAGCAGGCCATCAGGAAACACAACCTTCTAGATGTGTCTTGTTCTCCTTGAAGTTCATAATGCATAAAATGTTTGATTTTAAAGCGTCGCTCGTAGGCACCATGGTATGCCACTAGTGCCTCCCATCATTCCATGTGATAGTGTATGGGATTCAATGACTCATCTTACCTGATGCCTCTCTCTGTGGAACTTCTGTCCTTTGACAGCATTTCTGAGTGAGGACATTGTTCAGTAGATCAGTGGTCTGACTGAATGGAGTTTCTTTTGATCTCCTCTGCTTGGTTCTTCAGCTTGAACTGATTCCACAGCCACAGGTAAGTTTGCTAGTAACCTGTCAAAATATCAAACATTTGACTTTTACAGTTTCAGTAATAATTATTCAATCATCCCGATCCATGCTACCTATCTATTACAATTAAAAACTTATATTCATATAAGCAATGTGCTGCACATGCCATGTTTTGAAGGGCACTAAAGTACTTGACACATGAAGTTTGGCACCAAAAAAGTTGTTCATTAGGTTCAGACTCAGGGTTTCATTCACAGTGCACATACAAATATACATCTGTTTATTCACAGTTTATGTCTGTGGTTTCATTTCATTTCAAGTTTCAACCTTTCTTTTGAGATTAAGCATAACATTATCATAGTCATGAAACATATAAATGTAACATGCATTGATTCGAATCCCTGGTGATATTTAACTTTTAACATAGTTTTGAACTGAAATAGTAGATTTGTAGCTTGAGCTGAGCTGAGAATGATATTTATCAGAAGTTTCATGACTCCTTATCCAACAATCACCCATCCTAGCCAAAGGTTTTTCAATAGGTATAAGTTCCAAATTTATTCCCTGTTCAGAATTGTCAATTGTTTCCCTCTAATATGAATATCTCGGATGCAACAGACTCAGAGGACGATTTAATACACACAGGGCAGAGAAGTGAAGAAAAAAAATTGCTACAAAAATATGTGACAAAGTGTTTAAACGTATAAATGTTAACTGACGAAAGGCTGTTAACATCCAGTGGATGGAGCTGACTGAAGGAGCCATGATAATCAGGTAGTTTAGGTCAGAAAGTGTTGATATATCAATTTAATGCCTCATTTTTAGCACACATTTGATTTAAATTTTATAAGCAACAAATCAAAATGTCAATTGATCTATTCTATTCTAAAGAAATAAATTGTTCTATTCTTTTGGGATATGGGACACAGCTTACAGTCAGACCAAATGGTGATTTTCACCACTCTCAGTTGCCTACCACTTCAATCACTTCTGAACAATCACTAAAATTTCATTGTAAATCTAAGTGTGCCACAATTATTTGACTGATCACTGATGTTATAGTCTAAATGATCTACAAATTACCGGCATTACCTAGTAGAGCAGACGTCACACGAAGGTTTTCCAACCGAGGAGAGGCGCTGTAGGTTTGTAGGTTGTAGGGTAGATTTGTAGGTTGTAGGTTTTTAGGTTGTAGGTTTTCCTAGAAAGAAGCACCACCGGGTATGGCGCCTCTCTTTGGTTGGAAAACCTTCATGTGACGTCTGCTCTACTAATACCAAATTTCCTACCTATTGAAAGGAAAAAAATTAATCGGTGACAGGTTCAGCTTGTGGAAAATTGTCAATGGAGAATAGAAACCTGAAAATGGATGTCACCAGTCAGAGTCAAATCAAAATATTTTTTTTTGGGGGGGGGTTCTCGCATGGCTTGGCTTACATTTTGAGCCTGAACCTCTAACATCAATATAAAATTGCAAAGCACCAGATAGAAAAGAACAAAAGCAATCTAATTTCTCAAACCTATGGGGTTGCATAAATGCCAAATGAAGCACTAACCACAACTCTTCATCAATTATTTTCATACAAATTGAAATAACACGAGAAAAAACAGCATAACTTACACAGTCTGACTTACCCAGCGTTCGATGTCTCTCGGACGGCGAAGATTCTATGCCGTCCGGCCAATCACGTTCCATAACCGCAGACGAGCCCCCACTGACCTTGAACGTGATTGGCCGGATGACGTAGAATCTTCGTCGTCCGAGAGACATCGAACGCGGGTTACACGTGCAATGCATTTCGGTTTTATTGAAGCACGTGCGCTGTTATATGGCTACGGTGACGTAGGACACAACTGCTAAATTAACAAATGCCATGGTTTACTGGCAAGAAAAATGTAAATCTGATTCATGTGACTTGACAAAAATAAGAGCAGGCCCATGTCGTCCCCTATCTCTCTGCGTGTCCACTAACACGAATGACGTCACGCATGTGGGCGGAGCTATGGGCGGAGCCTAACGCACGCGGCAGTCCAAGCCGCCATATTTGAATTTATATTTTAATAGAATCTTGCCGATATTTTGGGTGAAGTCAATTTATATGGATAGCTTGGTGACAGTTTAGCTATACGAATAATAATTTATTATGGATGTGCGTATATTCAGCTTGGAATTGCAATTAAAGTTCCGCACCGCATAGATTCGAACTCGGGACCTTTGGAATACTGCGCGGGCACGCTAACCACTACACTACCGCGACCGCGCGGCGGCCGGCGGCAGGGAGGCTGCGGAGACATGGGGGGACATTTTACGCTTTTGTGAAAAAAGCAAAAGATTTAGCGAAAAACACGTAATAGATAACTTGCAGAAAATTGTCTGCTCTTTCAGATAAGATACTTAGGTTTGATATATCTTGTGCAGACTTCATTCTACAGTGCTTCGAAAATCGCTCATTTACATGGGGATTGAACGGGGCTTCGAGACTTGACTCCAAATGACGTCACGAGCTGACGTCACGAAAAGGTAGAATCGCCGGACGACCCTACCTGGTATATAGGGCCTTGAATAAGAGATCAAAATTTTCAGTCTAACAATTCAGCCACAGAACTAGAAATATCCTAGACGTTGTGAGCTTAGTTCACAGTTGCTGCTTACACGGATGCTTATAAGTGATTGATCATTGACGTCAGACAGACGTGACGATTTTGCGCTGAATTGGAATGGCGGTGCAAATTGAGCGGTTCGCTTATCGCTATCCTGATTCCAGGACTGTGCTTCTCGCTCTCTGATTTCTCTCTGACCATGCCTCCTCCCTATCTCGCTCATTGAGTAATGAGTCGCGTTCCTCCCGCCCGTCATGGCGTCATCCCTGCCTCTCCTGTTCCTTGACCCGTCTCCCCTCCCTCCTGTGTGGCCCGTCTTCCTCAGGTCCGTGAGCCGTCTCCCTCCCGATATGTGGTCCAACCCACTCTCGTCTCGTAATCCCCCACTCTCCCGTCCCGTGATCCGGCCCGCTCCCGTCCCGTGCTCGCACAGTCCCCCGGTCGTGATATTCGCCACAGTTGCTGACGGCGCGTGCGTCGCTCGCTCCGTGCGACGCCAGCTGCCGGGAACAAACAGCGGCGCCGTCGGCGGGACGTTTGGGCGCCGACCGACACAGGGCCGCGCTGTTTTTCTGGGACTGTGGTTCCGCTGTGCCGGAAGAAGGCCGTCGTCACGTGGCGGGTCTACTGATGGACGCGCCAGAGTCAGAGGGAAGTTGTGATCGAGTGATCTCCTCCGGACACGACGCGCATTCTGGATTGCATGAGCTTATACACACATTTTGAGCGTATTCCAGGAATTGCGTGTCTAATGGCATCTTTGACGAAGAGCGAGGCAAAGCGATGCAGCCGACTTTGTAATTGCGTATGACTTCATGTCATGTTTTCATTCCGCGATTTATTTGCTTGCTATAGATATATGGAAAAAACGTTTATTACAAGCATCTAGCTAATATTTTCCCCCTGTGTACAGTGCTTGGATGGATAAGCACTGCTTATCCATCCATTGAATTGTGATCCGGCAGTGTTTTTCCCCGAGCCCGTCTATGTAAATCGTCGGCAGAGATCGGTTTCTGATCCCGGGATGACGCACGGGTCGTTAGCGCTCTGGTGGCGGAGGCAGCTTCCCGGGCTCCCACAGAGCTCTCCGCGACTGACGCACTGGCGCACTGACGCACTGACGCAGCGTCACCACGCCGTGACGCTCGCCGCGCGGACGGGGGTCGAGTCGTCGCCGCCGCGCGCCGCCCCGCTCACTGACTCGTGCACAATCGGATTTCACAGTCGGGCACATTGATCATGAGCGGAGCGCGCCGCGCCGACACCCGTGACCAATGGCTGTCGCCGGCATTATCAGGCGGAAACATTCGATGTCAATTAGACGGCGTCAGCGCGTGCCGGCTGCTGCGACTCCGGGGGAGGGACCGGCGGGCCGGCGGTGCCGGCCGCGGCACCCCCTATCGATCAGGGTCGCGGGACATGGGGGCCATGGAGTCGGGCAGGGCCCGGCGGAGTCCTGACTGAATAGAGATGGCCGTGGGTGTCATAGAGCTAGGTCAAATATACAATGGCATTTATATAGTGCACGACTTGTGTGCACGAGACGCCATCATGCATGAAGTACCTTCTACCAACGTCTCTATTTTAGATATGTACCTATGTTTGTTTCATCTCGGAACTTAACATAGTTATCTTATCGCTCTAGAGTTTAGGTCGCCTCTCTATGTCTCTATTTATATTCCGTGTCTCGTAAACGTGGACAAAAAATGCAATCGGTACGTAGCATTTCACGTTTTCATATATCCTTCTTCACTAGATCATGAACACTAGGGAAGTAGGGAGCAGAGGCGGATCCAGCTCAGAGTTTTTTTTTGGGGGGGGGGCAAACCATAAAAATTTATCGATTCTTTCCATGCATCGTCCATAGGCGTAATTACGGAGCGAGCGAAGCGAGCGTAGTCTTTCCTTAGATTAACGGAAATTTCTGAGTATGAGCAGCCGGCCGGCCGGCCGGCCGGCCGGCCGTGGTCACGCTTTTGCGAGGCTTATATCTCAGCAACCACTTGACCGATTTACATGCGGTAATTTTTGTAGGGTAGCTTCATTCCTTCTACCAAGTATTGGACTATTCCCGATGCATGTGGGTGACCCCTTATGCACGTGCCACGTGCAAAACGAAGAGGTGTCACTTTTGCAATTGTTGCAATATCTCGGTAACTACTTGGCCGATTGCGCTGAAAGTTGGCATGTAGGTAGGCACCCACTATGCAATGCATATCCATGTGCCAGAGTTGAGGTGCTGCTGCACGTGCGCACGTGCAGGGGTCGATTCCAGATCTCGAGAACGGCTGGGCCGATGGCGCTCAAATTTGGTACATGGTTAGGGACCGGTTAGTAGGGTGCCGTACAAAAGTCAGTTGGGACCCATTTTGCACGTGCGCACGTGCAGGGTGCCGCCTCCAGATCTCGAGAACGGCTGGGCCGATTGTGCTCAAATTTGGCACATCGCTAGAGACCGGTTAGTAAGGTGCCGTGCACAACTCAGTTGGAGGTACCCCCTCGCAATTTCGCACGTGCAAGGCTCACCCTCTCGCTCGCTCCGTTAGTCGCCCCAAAAGGCGTTATACTGGTTACGGAGCGAGCGAAGCGAGCGTAGTCTTTCCTTAGATTAACGGAAATTTCTGAGTATGAGCGGCCGGCCGGCCGGCCGGCCGTGGTCACGCTTTTGCGAGGCTTATATCTCAGCAACCACTTGACCGATTTACACGCGGTAATTTTTGTAGGGTAGCTTCATTCCTTCTACCAAGTATTGGACTATTCCCGATGCATGTGGGTGACCCCTTATGCACGTGCCACGTGCAAAACGAAGAGGTGTCACTTTTGTAATTGTTGCAATATCTCGGTAACTACTTGGCCGATTGCGCTGAAAGTTGGCATGTAGGTAGGCACCCACTAGGCACTGCATATACATGTGCCAGAGTTGGGGTGCTGCTGCACGTGCGCACGTGCAGGGGTCGTTTCCAGATCTCGAGAACGGCTGGACCGATTGCGCTCAAATTTGGTACACGGTTAGGGACCGGTTAGTAGGGTGCCGTGCACAAGTCAGTTGGGACCCATTTTGCACGTGCGCACGTGCAGGGTGCCGCTTCCAGATCTCGAGAACGGCTGGGCCGATTGTGCCCAAATTTGGCACATCGCTAGAGACCAGTTAGTAGGGTGCCGTGCACAAGTCAGTTGGAGGTACCCCCTCGCAATTTCGCACGTGCAAGGCCCACCCTCTCGCTCGCTCCGTTAGTCGCCCCAAAAGGCGTTATACTGGTGTTAAAATCATGCCGTTTGGGGGGGGCAAATGCCCATTTTGCCCCCCCCCCCCTGGATCCGCCACTGGTAGGGAGCACCTACTCTGTGAAGCGTGTGTGTCATGCGGCACAGCATAACTTCAGGCGCTACTGCTGGTGCCATCTAGTGGCAATATCATAAGCTGAGCCAGTGATGCGGCACAGCATAGCTTCAGGCGCTACTGCTAGTGCCATCTATGAGCAATATCATAAGCATGGAATTGGAATGCGGCGCAGCATAGCTTCAGGCGCTACTGCTAGTGCCATCTATGAGCAATATTAGAAGCATGGACCTGTGATGCGGCACAGCATGGCTTTAGGCGCTACTGCTAGTGACATCTAGGAGCGATGTTATAAGCATCAATAAGTGGTAAGTGCTACACTAGGAATTTGGGTGATTCACCCATGAGATGAAACGATCGGATTTGCGTTTCAAGCTACATCTGGACTTGCAACATGTCCTCCACACAGTGATCAACG